ATTTTGTCATATTTCAAGAAGACCTCTTTTAAAATCAATAAAAGAATCAAAATGCAGGATTGTTTTTGTGACAAAGAAGCATGTGTTTCAATTATTCCATTGTAGAAAATGACGAGTTGTAAGAGTCATCAGATAATCAGACTGTCATGATGTACGTGGTCTTCACAAGTGAATGTAAACTTTTGTTGACGGCTCAAACAGACTACCTCTTTGCAGCAAACGGCTGTTGTCCTTTAAATTCAATGAAACGTTCAATGGAGCTGTCGCTCTTCAGGGACACACAGCTGGGTCCAGGTCCAGGTCCAGGTTCTGGTTCAACAGAGGCTGGTCTCCTGCAATTCCTGTTAGACAGAGAAGAAGAAACACTTTTAAGTCTGACAGTGACAGGAAACTGAAATCACAGTTCAAGGCGACGTGAAGCTGTTACACAAAACATGCTTCTAAACATGTGTGTTCAGCTGAAGTCATAGACGGTTGGACTGGGCAGCTTTCAGATGAAAAAGATAAATGTACATGAAGAACTGATTTAATAAAACTTCTCTGGACATTAACAGTTTAAACATGAATCAGTAACAACATAATGTTCCTAACAGATTACCTCTTTGCAGCAGATGGCTGTTGTCCTTCAAATTGAATGAAACGTTCAATGGAGCTGTTGCTCTTCAAGGACACACAGCTGGGTCCAGGTCCAGGTCCAGGTCCAGGTCCAGGTGTAGGTCTAATCGAGGCTGGTCTCCTGTTAGACAGAGAAGTAAAGGCTGGATTGTGTTTTCCGTACGAANTGCTTCTTATTCAGTTTTTGCAGGTTGTGTCTCTGTAGAGTCAAAGTGTTTAAGTTTATCTGACACTAGAAAGATGCTACAGTGCTCCAGCTAGCGTTGGTCGCATGCTAAGAGGCACAGCTCACATCTTAGCGATAGCATTAGCCTAGCACCGTCAGCAGAATAACTTCCAGCTGCACCACTTGCCGCTTGTGTTCACTAAACCTTCACCAACATCTGCTGCCTCACCTTCCAAACACAGCTTTACATTCATCTGCAACATTTGCAAATGTGTTCCGATGCGCTCTGTCTGTGTCAACAATAGTAGTGTTTGGCTGATACACATGACATGTAACAGCCAATCAGATAGCGCTGTGGGCAGGACATTACATGGTGTGACTGTATAGAGAAAGAGCTGCACAAGAGCCAACGGAGCACATTTACTTATTTTGCGATAATCGGCCAATAAAAATAACAATCTCAATAATTTACAAATGCCAAACATCGGCGTCAGGAATTGGGCGTGCAGATAATCCGTCGATCCCTACTGTTCATCCTGAAGGTTCAGCTTTACAGAAATCCTCTTACTGCCTTGCAGACGGTCAGCCAGCTTCTCCTCCTTCATCATCCTCAGGAGGAACACTGTGATCTGCTGGAACGCCTCTCTGTTGCTCCTCTGCTCTTTATCCTCACCCTCCGACTCCTCCTCATCCTCCCTCGGACTCTGTGAGGATTCTGGGTAATCTGGACTCAGAACCTTTTGGATGTTCTTCAGCTCCTTCTTCACAAAAGTGCTGATATTTTCTTCCAGTCGCTGGAACAGAGAAATCTACGCATGAGCTGATCAGAGTGAAATCACGGAGATCAACATCAGACACACTGACAGTCTACAAAGTGCCGACAATATGAACAGAACCAGCAGAAAAGTAGTTGCTGTACATGTACACACCATTAATACGGAGTCCAGGTGACGCTTCTGAGCAGACTGAACACTGGGAACCTTTGAGCTCTGCTGGTCGACTCTGTGGATCAGTCATGAATAGTTAGCTCACAGTGTGTCTGTCCACACGGAGACAAACACAAGCTCAAGGACCTTAGGGTTAAATTGTAGACTATGGAAAAACTGAGGTCTTCTGTGTTTATCTGAAAATACAAACTGATTTTAAATAACTTACCGATGTGAGACACGTAGACGTCTCACTCTCAAGTATGTGCGATGCTTCCTCTGCCAGTCACTCTGTTTGTGCCCACTGCTGCCTTTT